ACATTGACAATTCCTGCCGGGACATAATTCAAGGGTCAATTTTAGGGTGTGGCCCGATAAGGAAGGTCGAAATAATTGTGCTAACCATGTGTGGATCTGATACCATTCAATCATCCCTCCTTTTGATATCCTCATATTAGGTACATATGTTACGATTAATGGTGACAGAGTTTCTGTCGTACGAAAGATTCTTTACTACAGCCCGAAGCTTGAGGTATTTATGTACGTACGCTTCTTTCTCATCTCGTACCACAAATCATCATTTTCCACAAGTACATACTTCCTGCGCATTTCATGTAAGTGCATTCGATGCAATGTTGTCAATTGAGGTACGCAAGGAGAATCTAGATCATGTGAGGCGGGGAAGTCAAGCTGTTAATAGGCTATACTCTTCTTGAACGAGGGTCTTGGCCGAAGTAGAAACAAGCTTGCGCCGAGTGTATCCGCTTTTTTCCTCGGTTGACATCCCGTTTTCTACAAACTAGTCCATTCACGTGGTCAAGTCCCAAAGCTATTATTATGTATCGTTCTTGGAAGTCTAAGCGTAAAATTGAATACAGAAGAACTTGGTTATACCGGACTGAAATTTTCGACCAATCAAATCCGGTATATCTATGATTCCGGTATAAAAAATGGTGGTCCAAGCTCCCTAACCAAATTATATCCGATTTCAGCTCCAAACCCCGATATTTTCGAAAAATATCATGTGATGATAGCCAATCAAGCTTACTCATCCAAAATTCAGCTTATTCAGCCAAATCTACCACTAAAATTTATACCGGATTCGTGAAAAAAGTGTCCGGTATACCAGTTTGGCCTAAAAATCCGGTATTCTCATATAAAAAGTGGTCAAATCAGGAAATTATTCCGGTATATCCCAGTCCGGTATAGCCAAGTTTTTCTGTAGCTTCATTTTTCTCGAGTCGCGTGTTTTGGGGAAGGGAACATTTCGGTAATACTCATGAGCATAAGCCACTATCGGGCGCTGGACATGTCTCAGATTTAGGCGTGAGATGTCATCAAGTATCAAGTGGGGGGGGTGTTCATTGCTTTTAACGTGTTTTCGCCGCACGTACGCAAGCCTTAGGAGGGATAAGATGATAAGGGACGAACTTGATGATAAGTGACGAATTTTATCCTCATCTTGATTTGAGTGTTGAAGCTTATAAAATTACCTTAAATAAGACGGTGTGCGGTGTGATGAACTGTACTATCGATCAAGACACTCGGCGTGTTGTTTTATTTCAACCAATCTTGGCTTGTCCCTTTCTGTTGGTACGGCCTTCCTCATCTGATTTCGGATAGCTTTCAGGCTATGCGAGTAATGGTACATTGAAATTGATTCTGCCTTGGCAAATCCGTTATGAGGTTCTACACGGTCGTGGGATTTTACCGGGAAATCAATGGACAAGGTTCTAATCTCTGAGTGTTGTTGGTGTCTTGTCTCGAGATTCTCTGGTCAAAACATGATTCAAAGACGCAAGGCTAGACATTTGCTGTGTATTTGAATCACACTTGCAATACACTAGGCAGATGGGCAGATAGGTAGGCGGACCACGGGGTTGAATCCTTTCGTTTATGATAATGTCAGAATGAGGTGAGCAGTGAAGGGCGATAATCTACCAGCTCTGATATTGATTTGTTTCTGTGTCGCGGCGAAGCACTTATTGTTTGATGAAAGTTGAGTCATAGCGGTGAGATGTTTCCCGTTGTTATCTCTCTTCTGTCTTTTCGTTTTGGTTAGTTTATTTGATTTCTGTTGTAGCAAATCTAGATCTCGGTCTTGATCGGGGTGTATCGCAATGTCCGGCGATATTCATCTGTGAGGTTTTCAGAACCAATGAATCCGTTAGTGGAAAGTGGTTTTTTCTTTTTTGAGAGAGGCAAGAAGATGCTAGCATGAGGCAACTTTCCTCTCCTATCTTTGACAATCTGAGACCTTTATATTTTCGCCTTATGCGCCAAGATTCAATTGTACCTGCGTGCATAGCATCAACTTCAATTTCATCGCCCATTATGATTTACTACATGGCTCACTGAGCAGTATGAAACTCTGCCAGGCCAGATACTTATCGAGCCCGTTGATCTTCTCAGTATTCGTGCTTTTGGATGGACAAGTAACAACCCAGGAGTCAATTCAGATTCGCCCAGTTAGATAAAATAAGCTATTTGGAATTCAATTCTCCGGATGCTCAATTGTTAAGTTCTGTCTTGGAGCTATACCAATCCTAGAGTCTTGATGTCATCAACCAAGCCACGTTGTTGAATTTAATAAAAGATTCTCGTGATACCGGTTGATATGGCTAATTGTCTGATGAAACTATTACGGGGAGTAAGCATATCTAAATAGAGTATTGAAATCGTTCACACGATTAGCTCAATTTTAAACTGACGATGATCATGAAACTTGCGATGTCGTTCTTGGGATCCAGGCAGATTTTCAGATTGACGTGATTCAAATCACAATATGAGTGACGAGACCCGATCTTGAAAGTATCATCGTGAGAACTTCAAGAGTAAAACAAAGATATTTTGAGATCATCGTGTCAATATTTTAATTCAGGCTTCTCTTTTTGAGGTCGCAGGCCGCTACCCATTCGCCATACTATAATGCTAAAGTCAAAAGAGCCCTCATAACTTCGGTAACTGGGGGATGAAGTTGAACTGCTTTCAAATTAAGTTATGGATAGGTGAATTTCTCTTCCCCACACATGAAAAATCTATTGATGTTTAAATTAGCCATTGTATTCTGTAATGATCGATCTTCAACGCAATTCCAAGAATATTAACCACATGTTATACGTTAAAACGGAACCTGAGAAGAGCACAGAGGTACACTGCTATCCCATCTATTTTCTATCGCTGTAGAACTTGAGAAATTGATGTTTTACCATATCCTTGAAGAACATGATAAGATTTGGGTTCTTGAAGCTTCAGGTATAGCATAGAATTTCGATTTCGGTGGCTAATTCCTGTTAGGAAGATGCTTCATTTGAAGTCGTTTTTGCCGATGTCGACTTTTAAGCGCTTGAAGTATTTGGCGGAGTAGATTAGATTTGGGAAATCAATCTGGATTGGAGAATGGGAATTTGCAAGGTTCAGAAGATCTTAAGACTGGCAGGAAGGGATTTGGGGGGGGGGGGTGGGAATGTGTTATTGTTTAGAGAGAATGTCTATATCGTGGAGATGATTATGCTGGAATCGGGGGATGGGAGGGTAGAGTTGAAGTATGGAATATGGGATATGGCAAAAACAACAACTGAGAAATGAATGTTGAAAGAGGAGAGAAGGGTAATTCTGGAGAGGAGAGTGATTATACGAGTCAGATCATTCAAAGAGTGAATAGATAGTTGTAGACTATTGCCGCGATGAACTCTCGTCGCCAAGTTAAATAGTATATTGTAATCTTTCTGATTAACTAAGAGATGAATGCCGAAATGAGATAGCATGGAAGTCTTGGCAAGATGAGCAATGCTTTATGGTATGGGAAATGATTGTTAAAGAGCCCTCGCATGTGAGTGGTGTATGAGTAGTGCAGCGACAATCCTCCTTCCCTGCAGCTCTTGTGCTGCAGTATGGTATGTAAACTAAATAGAAAAACGATCTTAAATCCTTGGAATTAAAGCTAGGGGCTAGTCGAAAAGCTCAATGAATGTGTTAGTTTTGCTGCTGGGAGCTTTGTGTTCTGGTGACGTTATCGTTTGTCCATTGACTGACGATGTATACCATAATGCTGTTGATTCGTAGGGTAATTTGATGATTAGCTCCTCCCTATTCATCTTTATAAAACATCTTCTCTTCTCTTCATGGACTCGATATCAAAGATTGCGGTGTATTTGGAATCAAAGAGCTCTCTTGGACTAAAAAGGGAGTTCGAATACCAAAGAGCGAGAGACAGGGAGCGATTTGCCCAGGTGCAAATTTGACGTCAATGAATATTTGGTAGAGAATCAAATGGTTCTCGATTGAAGAAAGCATTTGGTGAGATAGATATTGGGATTTTATTGCGATGTGAGAGTAGGTACCTAGGTATATGGAATAGCCATTTCATCTTCATACATCGAGAATTTCATTGCTGTATTCGACCTCGAACGATGGAGCCTCGATTTTTCAACCGGTTCCGTGTGTCAAGTCTCATTTCTGGAATTGACTTGAAATAACGGAGCCTTAGGATTTGAGGTAATTCGAGCATGCCATAGTATTCGTCTGATATCCAACTATTCGATTCTTGTGATGTGAACCAATGGCCTCCTTTACTCCAAGTTCCTCAACATATCATGATCATACAAATCTCCACACGATGTAGCCGCATCCGAAGTAATAAACATCTCAATAATCAAAACTTCTCCTCAGTTTCTTTCCAGAGATAAACAATACACCAACATTTAACATCGCGATCCAGAAACTTCCGTCGTCGTCAAAAAAACGAATAGGTAAGCACCAACAGCACACACCAACACCCAAAAATTCGGAACCCGCCGAAAATCCCACTATACCCTATCCAGCCTAGCCTCTCCAAAAATGACCTGATACCACTCCCTCGTCACACCACCATCGTGCTATTGTCCAACTTTTCTTACAGTCTCTCGACCCGACATTCAATCCCGACATTTTCCTTTCCCATTCTTCCATTCTTCTACAATCGTATCATGTAATCAAACAAATCTTTGTAAGCCACACAATCTCATTGGATAATAATTTTCAAGCGCGGTAAGGAAAATTAAAGGAAGCGATTTCAAGCGAAGAGATCAGGAGATGTTATACACATGGTCTGCATGAATGGTAATTTCGGCATGATGTTTTTGCGGAATGGGATCATGATGGTTCGGTTTGGGATTGGGGGTTTGGAGGCTGTGGTTTGGCTGGAGAGGTCTTTCGGGTTGCGTAGGATGAGGTTATGTTGTCGTTGAGTGAATTGATGGATATCTTGTTGGTATATATATGCATCCTCGCTGTCGTGTTACTGTTCTTGCATATCATATTATACAATACAATCATACAGTGTATACAATATACCAATCACTTCACTCAATCATAACACACACATAAACATCACTCCTCAATCCAATCATATACCCTCACAAAAATCATCCATCCAACCAATCAACAGAAAAACACCCACAAAACAGTCATGTCCCCAATAATCCGACAAGTTGCTTCCCGCCGCACCTTTTCCATCCTCACCCGAGCCCGCCAAGTAGCACGTGGCTTCGAACCACATCCATTCGAACGCTATTCTATTTCTCAACAAGCCGCTAAAGCTGATTGGGGCAAATTGGTCAAGAGGACTGCCGGAAATGCTGTATTGTAAGTTCTTTCTTCTTTGCTTTCTTCAGGCTGGCTGCCTTTAGAACTATTTCGAACAAAAATTGTGGAATAGAGACTAATACAACATGTAGATATTTCCCCGGTTTTGCACTTGTACTCGGATGGCCATTGTTGGCTGAGAAGGCCCTGAGGAGAACCTGAGGTGGAGTAAGGGAGGTGGAAGAAGATACAGGATGGGCAGAAGAAATATATGCATGGAATGAATGGTGGGGTGGATGAGCTGTTTCTGGTGCATAGGTGATGGCGTTTTCGGATAAGCATTTGGGAGGCATTTTGAGATAGATGGTGGTCAGGCCATTTCCGGAGAGATCAATGAATAATACAAAATATAAACATACACAATAGTACGATTCCATAGTTTTGTGATATTGTGATATTGTAGAAACGAGGATGAGAGCTATACAACATGTGAATTAAGGACTGAAGTCTTGTAATTTGGAATATGGCCACTCAGCCCCAGACATACGAGCCCCTCTATTATGCGAGGATAGATTACACGATGTGAGCTACACACAAAAATTCAAATACAAGCTATGATACAACAACAAAATGATGTGGAAACAACTTCATCTCTTCTTCCGTTTTGACGTCTTCTCTAATTCTCCAGGAGCATTGGCGATGTCTGCTAGAACGGCATCCTCTTCTTCCTGCTTGACAATACCAGCCTCAGACTTTAATTGAGCTTTCTCTTCAGGATTCAGCGGTATGTCCTTGCTATCCTCTTCGGCCTTGATCGTTTCCGTTCGCTCAACCACATTACCCTCCTGATCTGTCTTGATTTTTTCCTCTTTGATCTTTCTTCCAATTGTAACTTTGCTTCTATCGGCTGCCTTACACAATCCATTCATTCCCAACTCACAGCTTCCACATTTCTTTCCAACTGGTAAACAGACAGTTTGTCCAAATCCAACTAGTAACCAATTGATCTCGTGCCATAGTTCCTTGGGCAACCAAGCTTGTAAAGCCAATCTTGTTTCCTCTGGTCCTTTAGTCGTGTGCCAACCCCACATATTCGTAATGCGATGAACATGTACATCGACACCGATTCCCTCCGTTCTACCCCAAGCACTACTCATACACAAATATGCCATCTTTGGACCAACTCCCGGCAAAGACATCAAGCCCTCAATAGTATCCGGTATATCGCCGTTCCATTGATCTCTAAGAATTTCCGCCGCAGCTTTGATATACTTCGTCTTATTATTATGAAATCCCACCACCCAAATCAACTCATTCAACAATTTCGGATCCACAGCCAATATGTTATCCAACGTCAACCCAATCGGCGCACCCTCCTTATGAGCAGGTAACTCCGTATAAAGACGATTCATCGCAACTGCATTGGTAGTATCCTTAGTCTGCGAAGACAACATCAAAGCAGTCAAGGTATGATATCTCTTCGTTTTCGGATCCACAGTCTCTTGTCCCAATTTATCACATCCCATCGTATCTACAGCTGCATTTTGCGCAACACCCAGTTTCCGCATCTCCATTACGATATCATAGACTTCGCGCCAATTATTGGGAGGCTGGATCTCTATCTCTCCGGTATCTTCATTCTTGACTTTACGCGCGGGTTTGCGTACTCGACTTGTTTTCGACGGAGGAGAAAACGCGACAGTGTTGTCGATTTCAGTCTTGATTGTAGTTTCGTTGAGTGATTGTTTCTTTATGGCAGTCTTTGGAGCAGAATTTCTCTTTCTTTTAAGACTCGATGATGAAGGAATGACATCTTCAATATCTGGGGTTGGCGATTTATCTTCATCCTCGATCGAAGCATTAAAGGCAAACCGAGACAGAGACCTTGTAGAACGTCGTGGTGAAGTAGACGTTGCGTTGATTATCTTCGCAGTATCTTTCGATATTCTCGAGGTTCGCATGATTGGAATGTGAAAGATGAAGACCAAATTTTGGCTTCAATCTGAGCCTGAATCTGGGTGGCCATTTTGTTATATCGTAGTACTTGATCTCCGGTAAGCTAGCACGAAAATGATGCGTCGGCTCGTGCTCAGGCGTGTTAATTGAAAAGATTTGCTTACATAATCATCTAATTTTGTCCACCATCCCACCAATGAAATCTCTCTAGTTGGAAATCCAGTGCAGGAACCACAACACTCGTAGAAGGAGATATAGGGTTGAATATACCTAAGTAAGGGAGTTAGATATGAAAGCTGAGAATATACTTACGTCAGGTATGATCAATCCTCATTTCCGTTAACATCACACTCCTCAATTTACTCACAAACCCGCTGGGAATGACACACAATATGTTGCTGTATCGGAGATGAATATCTTTCTACAGAGTTTATCGGATCTTGCCCTTTCATATTTCTTGGAAAAATATCGATATGTATTTGGAGAACTGTATTTCTTGTAATGTCTTGTTTGCCTGAGAGACTCTCGCACTTTCAAGTTATTGTCGCTCGTCATCTCCTGACAAGACGAGACTCTTCAAGAGTGGAGCAAGTGCTCATCATCTACTTGTCTTAATGACTATAGATTTTAGAGGTTCGTGTTGAAAGACATCATGTCTCTGTTTGCTGGGCATCAATATCATTGATTGAGCTGAGCTGCTTTCGTCCGGCCTACTGAACTGTGAATACTCAAGCGAGACCCCTAGTTTTCACTCTATCTTGGCATTACAGTTCGAAACCTGTACGCAATTTGCACACTTGAATATACATTGCGATCACTCCTCCTCAATTTTCTTAAAGATTTCGTGCCACTTTTACTTCTATGCTCCCAGATGCTTTTCGATAACTCACACGGCTTATTAGACAAAAGCACATCAAGGATTTACCAAGATTTATATTCTTGCCAGTCTAAAACACGTCAGTCCAATATCATGGGCTCACCATCGAGTCCCTCAATCAAGGTAAGTAAACAATGAAATAGTATTTCATTCGAATGTAAATCGTGGATATGTCATATCCAGACGTTGATTCCCAGACTAATCCCTCTCCTTCTAAGCTACGCGAGCAAAACCCCTCATCACCACCAAAAGTCTGTATAGTCGGCGCTGGACTCTCTGGACTTCGATGCGCCGATATACTACTCCAACATGGTTTCGACGTTACAATCCTTGAAGGTCGTGATCGAATCGGCGGCCGAGTTCATCAAATAAACTTACCATCCGGTCCATTGGTCGATCTAGGAGCAAATTGGCTTCACGGTAGCGACGATCAACCATTATTGGATATGGCCAAGAGTACCAATACCGAAGTACATACTTGGGCTGAAAAGGGAATTTGGTTTGGAGAGGATGGAACGCCTCTTGCTGATGGAGATGCAATGATGAATGAAGTGTGGGAAATTATTCACGGGGCGTTTAAGTATTCGGAGGAAAATTCGGAGAGTATTGATCCTGATAAGAGTCTTTATGATTTTATTGAAGAGAAACTTTTGGAAAAGTATCCCGATGATGCGGAGAAGAGAAGAGTGTCGATTCAATTTGCTGATATATGGGGAACTTTTGTCGGGAGTTCAGTGAAGAAGCAAAGTTTGAAATTCTTTTGGCTGGAAGAGTGTATTGACGGAGGTAAGTTAATTCTCCTGGTTCCAAATTGTCAAAGGTTATACATGCAACGCACAATATTCAATCGTTATGTCATTGTTTGAGTGGCTGAAAAAGATCTGAGTTTAAGTGGACTAATTCGTGGACTAGAGAATATTTTTGTCGCTGGAACATACAAAAAGATCCTCGCTCAGGTCGCCAAACCAGCTCTGGAAAGTGCAAAAATCAAATACCTAACAAGAGTTACTCGCGTGGAAACAAATCCAGAAAATGTCACCATATTCACAGATGACGGCAAAAGCTTAGAATTCGACGAAGTAGTCATGACCACACCACTCGGCTGGCTAAAGAAAAACAAGCAAGCATTCCACCCTGCGCTCCCCACCCGATTTCTCTCCGCCATCGACTCCCTCGGCTTTGGATGTCTCGAAAAAGTGTGTGCCCTCCTTTTCCCATTCCCCAACTCCCGTCTGACAATCCCACAGGTCTACATAACCTTTCCCCACGCGTTCTGGAGCAATCCCAAGCTCCCTCCCTCCTCCCAAACCTTTGACGGTTTCACCCAGTGGCTCGCTCCCACCTACACCACCACCACCAATCCTCACAAATGGCATCAAGAAATCGTACCTCTCTCTTCATTCACCCCCGAAAATGCACACCCCACCCTCCTCCTCTACATCTACGGCGAGCAATCTCAACTCTTCGCCCAAACCCTCTCTAGACTGCGCACTGCGGGCGAAAAAGACGCATTCCTGATTTCCTTTTTCAAACCCTATTATTCCCTGCTCCCTAACTATGAAGAGGGAAATGCAGATTGCACACCATTATCTTGTGTGGGTACCACGTGGATCAATGATGATCTGGCGGGAAATGGAAGTTATACGAATTTTCAAGTGGGGTTGAGAGAGGGGGATGCGGATGTGAAGGTTTTGAGAGAGGGGGTGCCGGAGAGGAGATTGTGGTTTGCGGGGGAGCATACGGCGCCTTTTATTGCGTTGGGGACGACGACGGGGGCTTATTGGAGTGGGGAGGCGGTTGGGGGAGGATGGTGGAGGTTTATGGGATGGGGGGAAAGGGAAAAGGGTGTTAAGAGAGGGGTTTGGGGATGTGAAGTGTGATGGGGCTTTTTAGATTGTGCTCTGCAGATAGATTTTTATAATTGTATTTGTATGTATAGATAATATTATGTATGGGTATAACGTATAATTGTTGTAGTTATAAAAATTTACCTTGGATAAATAAATCCATCCAGATCTTCCCTTTTCACCTTCTTACACTCCCCCCCATAACTCAATACTACCTAGGTATTCCACACAATAGCACATCTTCTCTCCCTCTCTCCCTCTCTTCCCACCCCCCCCTCCTCAAACCTCAAACCCCAATCCCAAAAATAAATAAATACATCATTCTCCATCTCCATCTCCAAACAATACTGCGATCGAAAAATGTGAGACTACATAATATCACGCCCCATAATCATGCATACTCTGTACATACTCTGTGCATACTCTGTACATACTTATGGAGTATATGCAGAAGGAAGCTGAAAAGTCTGCGCGTGGGTAGCGTGGTAGTGTGGTGAGGGGAATGGATGTGGGGATGTGTATGATGATATAGATAAATAAATAAATAATAAATAAATAAATAAATAAATAAATAAATAAATAAATAAATAAATAAATAAATAAATAAATAATAAATAAATAAATAAATAAATAAATAAATAAATAAATAAATAAATAAATAAATAAATAAATAAATAAATAAATAAATAAATACATAAATCAATAAATAAATAAATAAATAAATAAATAAATAAATAAATAAATAAATAATAATATAGAGGGTAAAAGGATAAGTAATATAAATACATCTAAATATATTCCCACTTTTAGTCCTTGAATTAATAG